CCTTTACATACAACTTGAAAAATTAATTCAGCTATTTCTGTGTCATTAGTTGCTATTTCTGTGCTAACACTGTATATAGGTAATGTTTATTTATTAATATGCATAATCTAAATCTGTTGCAATTATTTCTTTCATTACAGATATATATACATGTATATATATAATATTATATTCTAATTCATAGTAGATGGGAATGTTCTTTTATGCAATAATTGAATTAATAGTGGCTCTTCAATATCAGAAATTGAAAATTTTGTTAAGAAAAGATCCAATCTAGGATTTCTCCATTTCTAGAGGCACAGGTATGTGATTTGCAAGGAGTAGCAACCATAAAAGGAGGTTCTTACAGGACAATGGCTGCTCCAGTTTTCAGTGGGCAGTTCCCCAGAGCTGAAGGGTTAAAAGTTGGATGATGCAGATGTCACAATATTGCACTGACACTCCCTGATTTCTGTCCACAATCTTATTCATCAGCTGGAGAGCTAAGGAATGATCAGTAAGATTTGCTCACACTTTAATAGTCTCATAAGGTGTAGTGGGTTTATGTGGCAAAGTTATGCGCAGGTGGCTCTGCACTGACGGAGGCTGCCGCCTGTGGAAGACCCCTGCTGGAGCAGATTCCGAGCCAGACCTGTGGCCCGTAGAGAGGAGCCCATGCAGGAGCAGGTGACCTGGCAGGAGCTGCTGCCCGTGGGGGACGCAGGTTGGAGCAGTTTGCTCCTGAGGGATGGACCCCGTGGTATGGACCCATATCTGGAGCAGTTCTGGAAGAGCTGCTGCCTGTGGGAAGCCCACAACAGATCAGATCATCAAGGACTGCATCCCGTGGGTGGGACCCGACAGCACAGGGGACGAGAGTGACCGAGAAGGAGCGGCAGAGAAGTGCTGTAGACTGGCCATAACCCCCATTCCCCCGTTCCCCTGCGCCACTCGGGGGGGAGGAGGTAGAAGACGGTAGATGGGGAGGAAGGTGTTTTTGGTTTCTTTCCTTTGTTTCTCACTTCTCTAGCTTGTTAGTAATGAGCAATAAATATTACTATCTCCCTATGCAGTCTCTTTTACCCATCACAATAATTACTGCGTGATCTTCTCATCCTTGTCTAAACCTTTGAGCCCTTTTCATCATATTTTCTCCCCATTCCTCTTTGAGGAGGGGGAGTGAGAGAGCGGCTGTGGTGGAGCTCAGCTGCCCACTCGAGTGGAACCACGATATATGGCCAGTGCAAAATTCTAATGGTGAATGGAGACTAGCAATGGACTGGTGTGGCCCGAATGAAGCAATGCCAACACTGATGCCATGTTGAACATGTTAGAATTTCAGTAGGAAAAGGAGTTAAAGGCAGCCAAGTGGTTTGCTGCAACTTACACTGATAATGAACTTCTCTCAGCCTCTTTGGCAACAGACTGAATTCCACAGTTTGTTTTCACTTGTAGGGCTGTCTAGTTCCCCCGGGCTGCAAACAGCTCTACCATTTGCCATGGACTGATTCAGACTGCACTAGAACAGGGTGAATCTTCTGAACACCTGCAATATATTGATGACATATGGAGCAATAGAGCAGCAGAAATTTTGAGAAAGGGAAGAAAATTGCCCAAATAATTCTGAAATTTGGTTTTGCCATAAAACAAAATAAGGTCGAGTGACCTGCACAGGAAATCCAGTTCTTGGGGGTAAAATGGCAAGATGGATATTGTCAGATCCCAATGGATGTGATCAACAAAATAACTTCTATGTCTCCACCAACTAGCAAAAAGAAAACACAAGCTTTCTTAGATATTGTGGATTTTTGGAGGATGCGTATTTGGAATTACAGCCTGACTGTAAGCCCTCTCTATCAAGTGACCCAGAAGAGGAGGGAATTCAAATGGGGCCCTGAGCAATGGCAACCCTTAGAGCAAATCAAACATGAAATAGTTCATGCAGTAGTCCTTGGGCTAATCTAGGGAGGACAAGAAGTAAATATGCTCTACACTGCAGCTGGGGAGAATGATCCAACCTGAAGACTCTATTAGAAAGCACCAGTGGAGAGTCAAGGTTGATACCTAGGGTTTTAGAATGGGAAATATGATCTAAGGCCCACTGTACTCCAACTAAAAAAAAGTTGGACTTTTTTTTACTAAAAAAAAAAGAGACTAAAACTAAAAAAGAGATTACAGCAGCGCATGATGGGGACTGAGCTGGTTTGGGAGTTGTTGGTACAGATTCTCTTGGCATCCCAATTGACAATGCTAGGCTGGATGTTCAAAGGGAGGGTCCTATCTACACATGATATAGTTGATGCTATGTGGAGTAAGTGGGTCACACTGATCACAGAATGGGCTCAGATAGGAAACCTCAGTTGCCCAGGAGTCTTGGACTTTATCATGGACTGGCCAGAAGGTAAAAAATTTGGAATATTGCTAGAGGAGGAATTGACAAGTTGAAGAGGTCCCTCTGTATAACAGACTACCAAAGTGAGAAGCAATATGCCTTGTTCACTGCTGGGTCCTGTCAAAGTGTGGAAAAGCATCAGAGAGGGAAGGCTGCTGTATGAAGCCCTTCAAAACAAATTGCAGAAACTGATGAAGGAGAAGGTGAGTTGAGCCAATTTTCAAACGTAAAGGCCATCCAGCTGGCCTTAGAATGCAAAAATTGCTGTACAAGTTGCCAGTGTTCCATCTTTATACTGAATCATGGATGGAGTTGGTACAGCAATGGAAGCAGAACTGAAAGTTCAGAGGCAAGCCCATCTGTGCTGCCACACTGTGGCAAGATATTGCTGTCCAGGTAGAGAATATGGTTGTAAAATTATGCCATGCAGGTACCCAAGAGTCAAGCCTGACCCAGGAGTCAGGCCACTGAAGAACACCAAAACAGCCATCAGGTAGATCAGGATGCTAAGATTGAAGTGGCTCAGGTGGATCTGGACTGGCAACGTAATGGTGAATTATTTATAGCTCAGTGGGCCAATGCCACCTCAGGCCATCAAGGAAGAGATGCAACATATAGATGTGATTGTGACCAGTGGATGGACTTGACCATGGATGCTATTGCACAGGTCATCCATGATTGTGAAATATGCACTGCAATTAAAGAATCCAAGCAGTTAAAGTCTCTTTTGTATGGAGGACTGTGGCTGAAATATAAATATGGGGAGGCCTGGAAGATTGGTTATGTCACACTCCCACAAACACACCAAAACAAGTGCCATGTGCTTACAGTGGTGAAAGCAACAATTGGATGGCTGGAAACATATCCTGTGCCCCATACCACCACCTGGAACACTATCCTGGGTTTTGGAAAGCAAATCCTGTGATGACATGGCAATAAGGATTTGAGTCAGACAGTGGGATGCATTTGCAAAACAACCTGATAGATACCTGGGCCAAAGAGCATGGCATTAAGTGGGTATATCACATTCTCTGTCATGCTCCAACCTCTGTGAATTTGGATATTGTGTGAGAATAGCCAAAGATTTAAATTGTATGATGTTATTTATGATATAATATTGTATGTCATTACTAATTTGGTTGTTATATACCATATCAATCATACTACATCATGAATTACCCAGATTAATGATTTTTTTTTTTATTATTATTTTTTTTTATAGAACCGGACATCCACAATGTTGATGGAACCAGACTGGCTTCATCACACAACAATCCAGCACCACACACCATTTCTCCTGCCCTGAAGGACCGTAGGACTGTTATGACAGATAGAGCCCAAAGGCAGATTAAATTAACAGACATTTTAGAGGTATGGCCCATAGACTAAGGGAATAAGGGAATAATATCTGTGTGTGTGTGTGTGTGTGTCTGTGTGTGTTTGTAAAGACAGGAATGGTGGTAGAGATTAATTGGGATATATTAGAATGTGTGGGGCCTGAGCATGACATAGATGGTAGATGTTTTCCTGGTTTCAGCTGGGATACAGTTAATTTTCTAACTAGGAGATGATATGATGCTTATTTTTGCATATTGAGGATAAGAATAATGTTGATAACACAGTGATGTTGTAACTGCTGCAAAACAATGCTTACACAGACCCAAGCTTCTCATGTTGCCCTGCCAGAAAGAAAGCTGGAGTTGCACAAGAAGCTAGGAGGGGACAGTTGACCCAAACTGGCCAAAGGGATATCCATTACCATGTGGCATCATGCTCAGCAAGAAATTTGGGGGAACTTAGCCAGAGGAGGGTGCTGCTCAGGTACTGGCTGGACATCAGTCAACAGATGGTGAGCAACTGCATTGTAAATCACATGTTTTGTGTATTTTATTATTATTATTATTATTGTTGTTGTTGTTGGTCTTGCTAATGATGATGTAGTTAATTATTCTTCCTTCATTTATTGTCCTATTAAACTGTCTTTATTCCAACTCACAAGTTTCACTTTTTTTTGTTTGTTTGTTTTTTGTTTTTGTTTTCCTGATTTTCTCCCTATCCTACTGTTAAAACCACTAGTATCCTACTGGTAAAACCACCACAGGGTGTGGGAAGGCTATAGGGAAACAAGTGGCTGTATGGTGCTTACCTATCTTCCAGATGAAACCACAACTATAATTTATTCTTTGGTTTGTTTTTTGTCTTTCTCTACCCTTTGTATTTTTTGGACAAAGTATTTTTTACAACCTCTATTTTCTGTGAAATAAGCAACTGAGTTTTCTAGACACCCAGAACCCTAAACTTATATTCACTTTAATGAGAAATAAAGCAGTAAAAATGTAATTTTTTTAAAAAGGTAGCTGATAGTAACTGATGAAGAAGACATCCAATGCAGTAACCTTGGTGGAAAGTTTGGAATAAAGGGCATAGAAGACTTTATGAAACATAACACAATGGTACTGAAGTTAAAAATTCTCACTGTGACTGAAAGGAAAATAAGCTTCAGGAGGTCTGAAGAAGGAATGAAGGAAAACATTCAGGGGAAGCTCAATTGTTTTAGTTACTGATAAACTGATAATTGCAAATTTTCCATGCTCCATGCTGCCACTTTTCCAAGGGAAGCTATCTTTACCTTCATTTCTCAAGTTGCCAGCATCTTCTGATTTCCCTTCTCTGTCCATCTATAAAAGATGAGCTGTTCAGCTGAAAAAAAAAAAAAAAAGAGAGAGAAAGAAAGAATGTGCTATATTCTCTAAACTTTCATATGTGAATACTTAACAAGTATAGTTTTCCCTTCAGAATGGTCTTCTTTTGTTTCCTCTCCTATTATCTCACAAACTTTGTTTCATAAATACAGGTAAGTAAACTGAATACAATGTGTAATCTGCAAAAGTAAAAATAATGTAAAATACACTTTCTAAATTAGATTTTCTGGCCTCAAAAACAAATACTGAAGATTTAGGTAGACATTGCACATTCTTTTTCTATGACTGCATTAAAATCATCCCTTTGGACAAACACAGTAACCCTAGAGAGGCTGATGAATTTTCAGCCATTAATGAGATAGTTCACTACATTAAGCTAGCAGTCAGTTATGATTAGGAAAAATATTTAAGCTTTTCACATTCAACTTTCAGTCTGAGATACAGCAGACCTTTCTACATTTTAATTTGTTCAGAGAGCTACATGACCATGCATGAAAAATAATTATCAATAAACAACATCTGAGAATATTTAAGATACTAAATACCACTTAGTATATAATCAGATTTTTTTGTTATTTACAATACTTCTGTAAGTTATCACTGTACTGTAGATTTTTATTTATTTATTTATTTATTTATTTGATCATAGGTAAGACTTTAAGTATCATTCTTTCTTCTAGTTAGATTTTTTTTTATTATTATTTTTATTTTTTTTCCTGAATCCAGTTCACGTTTGTAATGCATGATCCAAATTACAATGGCAGAATACAGGTTTCAGCTAGCAGACACCTATTCAGAGAAGACCTGTGTCAATAGCTACACTAGAAGTCCACTTAGGCCCTTACCAATAAAAGGTCAATAAAGTTGGATGAAATCACTAGAGAAGCAGTGTGCAACTGGTGGCGTGCTACTTCTCTTTCAAGACCAGTACTGGTTACACCCTGCATTTCTGTTAAAAGGCAAATAGGTTCTAAGCACAGCTCAGATATTCCTGGAGAAAATCTTCGGAGAAGGGTGTTACCAGAGCTGGTATAGAAGTGCGACAAGGAAGGGAATCAGGATCTCCCATACTGCTCATGGAGCAAGCTTGCTCAGACTCCATATTACCCAGTGAGTCAGAGTACATGCATGTGCTGTAGCGGGCCTCAGGGTGCCTCAGGTGGCACTCACTAGCAATCTGTTAGGCAAAGGTTTTGGGATCTGTTATTTTCTTTATCTCAATCTCTTTTGAAAAGAAACATGGGCAGGGATTGCATGTAGGCACTGAGGTCTGAGGAAAAGGGTTTGAATCCAAGCAGGTGGCACAAGAGTTTAGAGGCTTAGTGGAAATCGATGCCATCTTACAACACAAACCAAAGCCCAGATCTGATTTAAGCATCCTGGTTTTGTACTCACGGTTATGGTTCAATTAATTATCCAAATTATTATTCCCAATTCATATGCCCTCTGACTGAAACTTCATTATAATTCCATATCTGGATATCTTAATGAAGAAGATGAGAGACAGAGATGCATAGGTCACCTGGTGTCTTGTGTTACAGTATTATTTTTCAGCACAAGTGCATCTGTTATCTAAAAACAACAAACAAAAATCTATTTTCTCATCTCAATATGTTACTACAATTTATATTAATGGTATATATTAAGTAGCAGAAAAAATTCCCATCTTCATTCAATGCTTTTGCTAGTGATGGAAAATATGTACTTGGGCTGCACTGTACTTGCTCTGTTGTGAGCAACTGACTACCATAGACTAGATTATCATAGTTACTAAACTGTGTTTTATTTTTTATACTTAGTCAGTTAGCCTTATTGTAGTCCTTTTATGATGACAAGATTGCTGATCAACTTTAAGTTTCAACACTATTTTCTTAAAGTACATATTAAGTACTCAAGCTAGTCTGTGGACCTACAGTCATAGTCACAAATGTTTTTGAAAAAGTTAGAATGTCCCAGAAAACAATCCTGAACACCTGAATGTAGCCTGCTTTATGTATTAAAAAAATGTCATAGTTACTGTAATGTGAGCATGCTAAAACCTAAATATTGCTGTCATTGTCCTTACACTATCATTCCACGTTTTTCTTCTTAGAATCTTACTTTTTATTTTTACTTATTTATTTATAGGTTTAGGTGAGCTAGGACTCTTGCTGCAACTTTCCATTTATACATCTAAGTGTAAAAATTATGTCCTTAATCGGGAAAACATTTAAGCCCCTATGCAACCTCAAGCACAAGTATAGAACATAGTAAGTTATTTTCTTCCAGTTCTCATTCAATTGAAATAAGTTTGTGTGCTTTAAGGCATTTATTCTGTTACCAGAAGCAGCGTTTACACAACTTGAAATCTTCCTTCCTTATCAACCTCGTCCCACCTGCACTGTATGTATACACAATATCGATGTGTTCCTCAGAATTTTCTCTACAGCTCAGTGTTAAGTGCCATAGCCCTATATAGCGCATGGAGAAGTTACAAGTTTCAGAGGTGCTATGGTGAACTTTTACATGCCAGAAAGGGGAATAGCACAAGAAGAGGTAAGTAACTGAATAGGAGGTGCAATCCAGCAGTCACAGTGACTGACACAGTGACTCCCCAGCAATTTCTCCACCCAGCTCAGGGTTTGGGTTCAGATCAGGTTTCAGCAGTCTGAATGGTGCTGACGGAGCTCAAAAAGTGGGAGACTGAGTCTGAACCTTCTTATGATGAGGAGAAGGTGTAACAGACCCTCAGCTTTTCAGGTATACAACCCTATAACTTAATTATAACATTTTCAGAACACAGACACCTACTGCGCTAAGGCATATTTTCTTTAAACATTGACACTGTCCTCTGCCAGAAGAATATGTTAAAATTGGACTGGTTTGTTGGTTTATCATTTTGGCAGTCTGATCGATCTCTGCAGTAGCTAAATCAATTGTATTCAAGTACAGACCTTGTAACTAGGCAAAGGCAAGGCTGAGTGTTTAATTGTTGAAGCTAGTGGGGAAAAAAAATATTAAAAAAAGTAAAAAAAAAGTAGAAGGCCAAGTGGTGAAACTATTAATGTTTAAACAACTTTAGTTTTCTATGAGCAAACATTTTCAGGATAGCCTGGGTAATGGGGGATGCAGGTCTGCCTGGGTGGTTTTCAGATGCCAGTTTTGAGTACACATACATAAAAACAACTTAAATACATGTATTTTATATAATAGTATCAGATAAGACAACAACAAAAATTATGTCTGTTGTTTTTCTTATGAGTTCCCTTCACATCTCGCCCATAAAGCAAGCTATCAGGAAATAGCAAGCTATAAGAAACCTCTGAAAGATCAGAAGATACAGAAGAGGTTTGCAAGGAACATAGTGATGGCCTGGTTATAGGCATACGCTGGTAGAATTATTTTACATCATTCCAGATGGCAGCCATGCAAATTAATGGTTAAGATAAGACCTCCTTGTGGTGGTTTAACCGTGCTGGGCAGCTAAACCCCACAACCGCTCTCTCACTCCCCCTCCTTTAGATGAGGAGGGGGAGAAGTAAAGCAAAGAACAACTCATGGATTGAGATAAGGATAATTTAATTAAAGGGAAATATTAACAATTAAATAAAGACTACCATGAACTAAACAGTTTAACTAAGGGGAAATAAAAAGGGAAAGGGGAAAAGGGAGGGGAAAAGGAAAAATAAAAAAGAAGGGAGGGAAACAAACAAACAAAATAAATGAAGGCTATATGGAAGTGCAGAGGAAAGAAATTACTCTCTACTTCCCACAAATGAGCAATGATTGACCACGTCCTTGAAGCAAGGCCTCAACACACGCAGCCGGTGTTCGAGAGGAGGACTGATGTTTTCCCAATGAGAGCCCACCCCTCCCCTCTTCTTCCTGTTTCCACCTTTTAGTGCTGAGTGTGACATCACATGGTATGGAATATCCCTTTGGTTGGTTTAGGTCAGCTGCCCTAGTGATGTTTCTCTCCTCACTTTTTGCCCACCCCCTAGGAGGGTTAGGGAGAGGCCTGATGCTGTGCCAGCACTGCTCAGCAGCAGACACAACACTGGTGTGATACCACTGCTGTTCCAGCTACAAGTGCAGAATACGGCACTGTATGGGCTGCTGCCGGGAAAGTTAACATTCCAGCCAGACCCAGTACACTCCTTAATCAGTCTAGAGGTACTTCCTTTTATAATCTTTCTGTCTTACTGTCTTTTGTTGTAGTCAACAAACCAAAGTATAAAATACCATTGTTCTTCTCACAGGAAGATGTTGCTACTCAATTCCAAAATGTTATTAGTAGTATAAACTCTTCTTTTACTGTATCTGCAGGCTATATATACTGGTGTTGTACATCAAGAACACATCAAAATTTGGAAACTCTTGATTAAGAGCTGAGTTTTGCAGTACTTATTAATGCATCTTGCTGTAAAAAATCATCCTAGATTTTACTGTGCCAGCCAGCAGAAACTCAGCAATCCTGTCATGGGAATTTTCAGCTATTCATCAACCTGGTAATGCACACCCACACTTGGCATGGAAAATGTGGTGTGAAACAACAGCAGATGATGGATTATGATGATGGTAAATAACAATGATAATGGTTATTGATTTTTTTGGAGGGAGCCTTCACTACGTATTGGATATGTAAAGAGTGACACAAACATCTGGTGTTACTAGACATGGTAAATTCACATAAAGGAAATGGACATTTGCAATTCTTTCTGTTCATGGAGGTCAGAAAACTCAACTCTGTTTCTCATATGAATAAAGGTTAATATATTCTGTATTGTTTTTCTTTTCTGGTAAACTATAATGTGTTGTGAGATGTTATATAGTAAAACAAACCAAAAAAAAAAAAAAAGTCTGATGTGATCATTTCAGTCATCTAAATGTTATAACTATGATTTAGGGATTTGTGTGAATCTCGTAGAGTATACATGTATATCAATTTCCTAGTGCTGAAAAGAGAAAAAAAAATCCATCTAAGTTATGGTAAGGTATATATTTGGTAAAAATAAATGACCTTTCTTGCCAGTTCAGATTCTTTTATTTTTAAAAACTGTATAGCACTTATGTAATGTGCCCCAAATATAAAACCAATAACACATGTGATGTGTACTAATAGTGCCTAAACCAGCATTCAAAGCCAACATGTGCTTGGCTAACGTGTGCTCCTGATGAGACAAAAACTGATGGCTGTGTGAAATTAAAATGAAAATCAGTGTTCTTGGTTAACTCCCATACTCTTCAAGTTGTACCTTTAATGGTCTGTCCTATCTGACTTCAGAGTGACTGCTTAAAATGAAGGATGTAAGTAAATGTTTGGAATAGCAAAACTTCATTAATAATGTAGTATGTGGAACATAACTTTTATCACTTTACCTTCCCTCTGCCTGTTAAATAGTTTCTATTAGGATTACTGATACTGTTTTGAACTCTGAGCAACTGCATTCTTTTCCATACTACCCATAAACGTTAGGGCTGTATTTTTCCCACAGTGTCTAATCTCTTTTTTAAGCGCATGGTGGTTTAATGCTGAGCTGAGGCAGTATACCCTTCCTCACTTCGTTGCACCTGCACAGGATCTGAAAAGTAGTAAGAGAGGTTTTTTTGACCCAGTGAAGCTCAGTCTTATTAGGCAATGGAAATAAGTTTCAACCACTAACATGCCACATTGAAAATGTACTCAACCCAGAGGGCTAAAAATTCAATCACCAAAGGCGAAAGATGCGTAGCCACCCAAAGTACTAGCGTCAGCCCCAAACCTTTGAAAATGCCTGCCTCTGTGGAAAACAGCCAGATTTCCCACAGTAAATGGAAAACAAAAATGTTGAAACAAATGCAGAATTTCCCCACCTCCATGGGAGAACAAAGATATTGACGACAGCTCTGCTGGTGCCTGACTGCTTATATATTTTTATGGGTCTTTCAAAGTGGCTGGAATATTTATTATGATCATTTCCTTTGAACTCTAGGAAAACTACAAGCTTGTTTGTATTACTGATTTCCATCTACTACTTGTAGATGCACTTCCTTATTCTATAAGGGGGAGGAGAGACTCTTTGATATATATATATATGATATATATATATACACTTCCCTTTGAATTATTTTTTCATATCACAACATGCAAAACACCCATTTGGTAAATAATAAAAGATCTTTTATTGTATCCCATATAAAACAATTATTACAGAAAATGTGCATGAAAATTCACATAAGAAAGTGGTTTGTGTAGGTAGGTCAGATTTTTTAAAAATGGCCTCTGGACCTGGTGCAGAACTTCACACACTAGTCTGTGTGTATAGGTAGTCCCATTAAAACAAAATGTTCCTCTGAGTGAAATGTGCTTAAATATTTGTTGGTAGTAATCATATTTTCAAAACTACAGAAGTTTTAAAAAGTGTCATAAATGCAATGGGAGCTCATATAACCTTTTTTATTTCTGAAAGCCAGCTGTTCACTAAGCATTTTGGTTACCAGTTTTAAGAATGACCTTTTTAGCACATTCTATTTAGCATGCATACTGACATAATTTTCACACTATATAATATACTATATGTAATAATAATAATATATTGTCCTGGTTTCAGTTAGCACAGAATTAATTTTCTTCCTAGTAGCTGGTGGAATGCTGTGTTTTGGCTTAGGATGAGAAGAGTGCTGATAACACCCCGATGCTTTAATTGTTGCAGAGCAGTGCTTATACTAAGCCAAGGACATCTCAGCCTTTTGCTCTGTCCTGCCAACGGGCAGGCTGGGGGTGCAGTAAGAGCTGGGAGGGGACAGACCCAGGACAGGTGACCCAAACTAGCCAAAGGGGGTATTCCATACCATCTGACGTCATGCTAAACAATATATAGGGGTGGCTAGCTGGGGGGAGGGGGCCGGACTGCTCGGGGTTAGGCTGGGCATCGGTCAGCGTGTGGTGAGCAATTGCATTGTGCATCACTTGTTTGTACATACTATTACTTTCGTATTATCACCATTGTATCATTATTATTATTATTGTTATTATTATTTTTGTTATTATTATTTTCCTGTCTTATTAAACTGTCTTTATCTCAACTCACGGGCTTCACTCTCCATTTCTCTCCCCCGTCCCAGAGAGGGAGGGGGGAGGGTGAGCGAACGGCTGCGTGGTGTTTAGCTGCCGGCCGGGTTAAACCACGACATATATACTATATTCTACATGTTTTTTATTTAGCATGGACCAAAGTCTTCCATAATGGAGGACTCTTGTATTTTGAAAGCCTTCACCATAAAGAAGCAAATATCAGATCACATGAGAGGTAAAAAAATTGTCTGTGAATCTTCACTATTTTATTGTTTTCATGAAAAATCACAAAAATCAGAAAAGGACATTTTGTGGCTTTTTATTCTTGGGGGGGGGGGAAACAGGAGGGAGGGAAAGAAAAAAAAAAAAAAAAAAAAAAAAAAAGAAAGCTAAAGCTAAATGTCAGCTGAGTTGCAAGGCTTTGCAAATAACAAACCTCAAATTGCTAGTGCTCAACAGAGGTTTGTTAGATGTTGGCAGCTAAATTTGTCAGATTCCTCCTGCAGCAAAGCTGTGCCAATGTAGGACACTGAGGGCTTAGCAAGGCAACTTTGCAATTCATCCAACTGGCAGCCAAGACTGGCTAATTCTGAGCAGGAAAAAATTGTTCATGGTCCTCCTTCCTAATGAGTGGGAGAGATAAGTGGTAAACCACAAATCGGGACAGAGTGAGAAAGCAAATCCTACAAATGGGATGACATGAAAGCAGACTGAGGAAGAAATTGGAGACCTGAGAAGAGGTATTGCAGGGAGGCAAGGGGAGGACAAGGGTAACAAGCTGTGAGGAGCTGGAGCAGAATTTGTGCAAACAAAGGTTTCTATCCTTAAAGCTTTGGATAAGCTCCCAAAATCCACAAATTTATTTTTGTACTGCTCTCAAGTAGTTATGGAAAATGTGTATCAAACCTCCAGGGATCTAGGTTACACTTGCTGCCAGTACTGGTGTTAGTGCAAACAGAAGAGGGAGAGGGAGTTGTGATTTGCATCTAATCTAAAGGATTTTAGACTGCTGACACAGAAGTCAAAATAATTCTTCCTGATGACATTATTTCTTCTCCTCTCCCCCCACCCCATCAGTCTGTATTTCTTTAAAAATCTAAATGCTTATCTAAGGCTGTCTTTGAAACACAAACCAATAATAAGATCAATATGATTGTGTAATTAAAGATTATACAAAAAGATGCATACAAATCCCCAAAATGGAAAATGAAGATTGTACATGAATAATCTTAAATGCGAGAGTCTTTATCTTTTAATTTCTTTACTTTGCAGTTTTAATTATTTTTGTGCTGTTTTGTGTGTCTTACTATATTCGCAAGCAGAAAAAAATAAAGAGTTGATTATTAACAGCTACAGAAATAATTTTGATTTCCCATCTTTACCAACAGAATCAGGTGGCTGGGAATGTCTACTTTCCTGAATGTGCCTTGAGGAAATACTCACAATGAATGAACAGATTTTGTTTTCTCAGTTAAATCATTCATAAAATTAAAAGCAGAGTATTGCATTTTCCTTTGATGTATTTCAGTTGTTTCATATGGCTTTAAGTTTGAACACTTTTTTTTTTTTTTTTTTTTGTTATTTTTACCAATCTGCCTGCTGCTAATTCTCAGCTTGTGGTAGAGGAACTGAGACATGAACATATGCTCTGAAAGAGAGGTTCTTTCACGTTTGAATTTCAGAGAGTTCTGTCACTCCTTGAGCCCAATAACCTCACAAATTAATTCCTTTTGCTTGCAGTGACATCTGTTGGTGAGGGCA